AAAAAAAAAAAAGCTCAAAGGGAGGGGCATTAACTCTCATTTTGGACCCACAGCTGCCAATCAGAGGGCTATAACAACAGGTACCATGTATGTAAAGTCTCTTTACCTGTACTGAACTCAAACCACTTTGGGAGTGAATATGATCAATTAAGCTGAGAGGTCAGGGAGGGACAATTGCCCAGCCTCTCTCTCCAGACCCAGAGGGCTTCCCTGGGAGGGAGGCAGCCTGAAAACAATGCTCCTCGATATTACACAAGGACTGACCTAAGAATGAGCACCCAATCTGGATGGCAAACCCTGCCTTCAGGCATTGAGATTTATTGAAACACTACATACATATTAAAACATCTTTATATACATTTTCCCCATTAAAAGATTACAAATATACAAATTCTCTCAAAGTCAGCATCTTGTGTATTAGAAACAATTGTAGAAAACCTATACCCTAATTCCAGCAATTAAATTGGTGTTTCCCATTTGCCAATAAAAAACTGGCACAATTCATCCAATTTCTCAAGTCCAGCTCCTGTCACTGAAACCACAGTATTCACATGGAACGTTTTTCCAAAGCAGCAGTGACGCTCAGTTCTAAGGGGGGAAAAGATCTGCCTAAAGTTCTAAGAGCCTCATGATTTTTCAGGGAAAATTGGGAGTGGGGGCAATTACGTTCAACAATATTTTGATTATAAACTCCATAGTGGTCTTCTTTCTAAATAAGTAATGACAGATTAAAGTGTCCTCTGGTCAGGGCAATGTAATAAACCCAGCTGAATGTGATAAATAATAGTTATATTTTTGCGTGTGTCAGGATGAGAAGGGAGGTCCTTGAGCAACATTGTTGCATGTTGAGAATTTAGTCCCAGGAGAGAGCTCTCTGCACTCCCCATCAGATATGTAATGTGGACAGACACTGGGTGTAACCCTTTATCTTTATCCTTGTAGTCCAGAAAATTAGGGCCAAGATCTTTCTGACTGGGGACCAACTGAGTCCTTATTATAAGGGAAGCAAATGTTAATTGGCAAGTTGAGGCTGCCTAGGGAAGATGCATGCAGGAAAATAGAAGGGACAAGACAAATATAAAGGCCCATCTATTAGTTCCCAGGTCCTCTAAAACGGCTCTCTTTCACAGAGTCCAGGTCACCGTGGTACACGTCTTAGTGTGTGAAGGATTCATTCTGGTGTCAACATTCACTGTTTTCTGTTTTTTTCTGTAATGACACATTTTTTCTTCTCCTTCTCCTCCTCTAACCACACCTTTCACACCTAACCTCCTCTAACCACCCCTATCAACCCAGGAGGCTGCTAGGACAAAATGTCAAATATATAATGGAGGAAGTGAGCCTTCACCCAAGTACCCATGAGTTATTGTTGTAAACACTGCAGAATTAAGATTAGTGGCTAACCCAGGAAATAATACTAAGAAAGGAAAAAGATGTCCAGAGCCATGCAGTGGAAAGAACTGGAATCTCTGTCCATAATCTTAATGCACTGATTATGAAGGAAGGGGGGCAGGGATCATCCACATGAACATCGATTCCAACCTTCAATGCCAGAAACTTCTCAAGCAGTCTCAACATAGGTGTCACCAACCCTGATGGTGTTAGCTTTCCAAGTATCTGAAGATGCTTTGCTTCAATCCTGAAGTACTATCATCTGTTTTGAGGCGCTTAGGTGAAGGGGATGTCATTAAAGATGGACCCCTTCTCCTTACCTAGAGAGCAGAGAAAGAATCAGGATCAGCTCAAGACCCTCATACAAGTACTTACCTTCAATTAGCTCTTTAGGAACTCATAGTTAAATCATGGATGTTTAGAAAAAAAGAAAGAAATATAAACTTTCCAGGAAAGTTTCAAAGCTGATTACCTACTGGGGGTAGCAGTCCTCTTGTACCTTATGGGGAGTGCAAGATTAACCCTGCAGCATAAGTCTTTAAGTCAGAAATATCTATATTTTCTATTTAAAAATAAATAAATAAATCTTGCTGTGGAGAGCCACCAAAAAAGTCCTCAAATTCCCTACCTGAGGCTTAGATGATTCCTTCGCTGCCTCAGCCTTAACAGGAGAAAGTGTGTGGAAGACAAAGTTTCTTAAATTTCGGGGCGCACTGGGGTTGAGGTCAGAGAGGGCAGCCAGTTTCTGAAGCACGGCTTTGGGCTGGTTTAGCAGTGAGCCTGTCTTCAGCTGAAGAGAGAAGAGTCGTTTGGCATCAAATCCCAAGTGTCAAGGAAAGAATGAGAAGTCAGTCCTTCCCTGCCTCCCCCAGGTCTTGAGGGGACATAGTCCTACCCCACCAAGGAGAAAAGGAACAGCAACCTCCTTTGACATCTACTTTCATTTCCTGTAGCCACCTCCCTCCCCTTGATGATAGAGTATTCCCTTAGCCTGACCGGGACCTATATAAACTTGCAGATTATGACATCAGGTTAACAAAGTCCCCAACCAACCTGGTGAGCACTTTCTGGCCTGATGGCTTCAAAAGGATTTCTGAGTAAAGACTTTGGTTCTTGAATAACCACAGTGCGATTGGCTGAAAAGAAAAGACAGAGAGGCTTGTTCTGGGCAAAGCTAGGTAAATTAAACAAGCTAAGAAACCTGTAACTAAACTAAAGCTTCGGAACTCTGATTATTTTATAATGGTGACTTTAAACTATATTAAGTGGCTCCAAGAAGACAGACAACCAAGTTGGATATCGACAAATCATTAACAGTAATAAGAAAAAACAAGAATGACAAAAGTACGGAATAGTCTTTAAAAGCCTCAGCTCTGAGGGTGCCTGGGTGGCTCAGTCAGTTAAGTGTCTGACTTTGGTTCAGGTCATGATCTCACCATTCAGGAGTTCAAGCCCCGCATCAGGCTCCGTGCTGACAGCTCAGAGCCTGGAGCCTGCTTTGGATTCTGTGTCTCCCCCTCTGCCCCTCTTGCTCGCACTCTGTCTCTCTCTCTCAAAAATAAATAAACATTAAA